TTCGATAAAACTATTATAATTGAAATTGAATTATTTAAAACGAAAGACTCTACTTGAGATTTCACGATAAAAGAATTTACTTTAATAATTGAAATGAATTCATTAAATTGTCAATAAAAATATTCAATTATCCTTGATCGATTCTGTCGTCAAAGTAAACTTTTTAAAAGATGAAACTAATATAAAATGCATGTTACTTTGACTCAAAAATCGACCTGTCGCGAAATGCCTTCTTGCACGTTAAATCGCACGATAAATATAATGTTTTCACATTATATTTATTCATTTTCTATTCGATCATACGACTCGTATAAAGTTAAGAAAAATATTTCATATATTCTATAAAGATTGTATATTTGTAAAAATTTTATAGTAATCATAATGTGTACTATTCATTTGTAACGTTAAGAAACGCGAGTGCAAGAAGGCCCTAAAACCTGCTCTAAAAAATATAACAGTGGATGTTACTATTCACTTAACTCGTCAAAAATAGCAAGTATACAACTGGTCACCCGTGTTGATTCGGATCTTTCATCCTACAACATGGTTGGGGACCAGAGGAAACAAAATAGCATGCGACTTACCAGTGATGACTTCAAGCCCTCGAAATCATCCATCAGTCAGCATGGTCCTGCTGGTAAGATTCAGGTCCAGAGACTGTAACAAAAATGCAAGAAAACAATTAGAATCTATTGTTAAAATTACAGAGATTTTTAATTAACAAATTTCAAAGTATAAATTTATGCTTACGTTGTTCGCTCGTGGTCCACCGCCAGATACCCCCCGGGTACTGCTGCTCGTTCCCAGGATCATGTTCAGAGACTGTAAGAAAACTGTAAGAAAACAATTAGAATCTATCGTCAAAAATGTAGAGATTTTTAATTAACAAATTTCAAAGTATAAATTTATACTTACATTGTTTGCTCGTGGAGCATCGCCAAATAATCCTCTTCCGTGATGCACTGACTCTAATTCCGGTAACGAGGAGTTTAAATTTCAAATTGAAAAAATAATTAATTTGATCGGAAAATATTAAATTAGATTATCGCGACCGAAGATTGAAATCGGCGAACAAGTGATTCTATTATCGCGATTCAGAAAACAGAAAGAGCCACGATGCTCTGGAAGTAATTTAATACTACGTAAGAAACACTGCTTCTATTCTCGCGTTTGCCTAACATCGCGAACGATAACGTGCTCGGGGTCACTTTGCCCCGAGAAACAAACTTGTTGCTACGCACGATCACTGAATCTACCGGCCGCATTGCGCTCGGCCAACAAATTTCCTGGAAAGAAAACAGCTGAAAAGAAAGGGACAGGAGACAAGAAACACAACAAGCACACCTGTGCTTTGCCTATCGATTCTCTTATTTCTTCTTACTAGAATTCGTCAACAGAAATACTGCTTTACTTAATACTACTGTATGCATAGTTTACCACGTAAAAATTCAATGCCACGAAGGCGAAATATTCTCAATCGATGAGAATTACAACGATAAAATATTATCTACGAAAATAATTACGTGCAAGTAATTATTCAATTTATAAATATTATATCACTAAGTTTCATCGTTAGAGTTGTAACCATGATTATGTTTAATTTATCGAACGTGAGAATATCCCGTAATTTTTATAAATATTCCGAAATTTGCAAGAATTAAAGTTCGTTAATTATTTATGCTTTAATAGCATATTCCAACTACGTGGTTTCTACGTTTTCTTAAACTTGCATCGAAATATATATGCAAATTGCAATTACAACGATTCATAAAGAAATATGAACGATCAATTAAATAAATAACACTCGGAAATATTAAATCGCGATCAGAATACAGTTGAATATAAACTATTCCAATTTATCGTCGATATCTACCGACCGGCATTTCTGTATACTTCGATAGATATCGAAGTGGATAAAAAGTTTGTCAAAGATTTTCTCAATTTATCTTAACAATGGCCGATTACAAAATTAAAATCATGCTTGCAACAAATAATGTAATAAAGCGACAATAAAAATGTATAAATATTAATATGAATGTTAATTTTTGTTATAATTGTTTAAATGTTACCAATATACCCTCCAAACTTTGTCGACTCGTCTGCCATCTGTTATGGTGTCGTTTACGCGCCAATGAAACTTCCCATGGCGTCGAATTTCAATCAGAGACTGCAACAGAAATGAAATACAAATTAAATCATAATTAAACAATAATCGATAATAACGAAGAAATATTAAAAGGTTAGAAACACGTATGTACCTCGTTGGTTGCGAAACGCCGACACTTCTTGGCAGGTTCCAACAAGACTTATTATTTCTTCATTTCGAGTTCCAATAAGAGACTGTAACAGAAACGAAATAACGATGCATTAAAGTACGCGAACGATTATTACAATTAAGTAACGATTAAATCGAAACCGTATTGCAAGAGATCGTAAGTAGTAATACGCGAGTACTAATAGCTGAAGGATAAACAGGTTAGAAATACGCACCTCGGTCGCGAAACGCCGATACGTCTCGACACGTCCTGCTATGTTTATTTTCAAAGTATGAATGATGGCCGTCCGCTGTGCTCGGCAACGCTCGGGAATTAGGCGGCGCGGTGGGGGAAGCTCCGATGTCTCGCGAAGCTTGTTTACGAACCCGAAGGATACCTCGGATAGAAACCGCGGATAGACTGATTTTTAGTAAATTATTTACAACTTTAACTGGTCAAGGAATCGCGAATAAAAGGTATACGAAACTCGTACACTTTTAATTTTGACAAAATTTAGATAGTATAATTATCTGTTATATATCAAGAAACAATCCGAAAATTGCAGCCATTAGCTCGGTGTTACCCACGATAAAAATGCTTTTCTATCGTGGCTATCACCGATTACCAGGTCTCACCACGTGGAGGTTGCTGCGAGTGGAGACCCGAAGGGAGATAGATGGAATCAAAGTTCCATCGATCTCCCTTTTACATTCTTACAAGCTAGATCACTAAACTAGAGAGATAGAAGGAAGCAATGTTCCTTCGATCTTCTGGTTTAGTTCTGCCAAGTAATTATTTCGTTTAAAAAGGGATGAAGCTATATTGTGGAATACGCGACGCGACGCGATACGACGCGACGTCGATCAGCAGTGATCGACGCTAGGAACGAGATACGCGACACGCGAACCGAGTAACTGGTCAAAAGACTCAGCTCCGTTGCCTCTTGGCAAGTCCAATCGAAGGGGAAGGGAATCGACGCACCTGACACAGAGGTTCCCCATTTCTCCCACGCATCCTGTTGGGAGCCAGATGGACCCAACGCGGGATGGCTAACTGAGAGAGGGAGCGTGTGTCAGGGCTACCGTAGACAGGAACAGTCCCTGATCCCCTCTACGGCCGAAATACTCTTTCCCTTGGATCGTCTCGCCAGAGGACGGCAACTGACCCTTCGGACCAGCTAAACGGCCGATCACTTGCTTTCTACATCAAAGCAGTGGTGACCGGAACGAGAAACGGGAGAACGGGTACACGAGAGAAGCTAGTTGGGAAAGAATTACTTGGCATATACGCAGACGCATACATGGGTGTCGTCGATGCTTATGTCTAATTGTACCAAGTAATTATTTTGTTCAAAGAGGGTGAAGCTAAATTATGGGATACGCGACGCGATGCTGAACCGTGCAGCAGATCACCGACGAAACAGCGGTGATCGAAGCGAAAATCGAATGACCGAGAGAACGAGAAGCTAAGTTAATAATTACTTGGTACCGCGACCTTAAAATAAATTTACTCTAAGAACCTTAGAGATAGAGATCCCTCGATGTCCCACGTTGATAGAGGCCTGTAAGTAAACTGAAACAAACTAAAAAAGCCGGCATTAACAATTAGTAAAATAATTAAATATAATAAATTGGCAAATACGAAGCTGAGAAATAAAATAAATGGACCCAGAGAAACCAGTGACGTAAAATAGACACGGACATATTGGTCAGTACTGGTCACCAAAGCTAACCAGTGCTCGACCAGGGGTCAGTAGGGGTGAGGAAAGGGGGAGCGCGGACCCACGGGGGTCCGTCACGTCCGCCAGCGCAGAGAGAGAGAGTGAGAGAGTGCTCGTCGCCGGCAGTTAGCGTCAGGCAGAAGAGTCAAAGGGAAGGGGATGACCGTCCTTGGCGAGTTCGCCAATCAATTAACGGTTAACCGTGCCTTCGACCGAAAAATGAATATTCTACGCAAAATGATATTAAAAATAATTATTTATACAATCCACGCTATCGAGCATTATTTTAACTATCGCCTGATGTTAATTAATAATCGTTGCAAACAGTAGGAATGAAAATATGTTGAAATTCGAGGAGACTGAAGGATTCTTTGAATGTCTAGCGATAACCAAGGTCAGACATGTAAGTCACGTATTTGTTTCTTCGACCAAGGAATGAATATTCCACGCGAAAGGAGATTAAAATCGATTATTTGTACAACACACGCTATGGAGCATTATTTTAATTATTCCCTGATGTTGAAAGCATTTTTATCGTGGGTAACACCGAGCTAATGGCTGCGAATCTCGAATTGTTTCTTCATATATAACAGATAATTATACTACCTATGGTTTTGTCAAATTTAAGAGTCTACGGGCTTTAAATACTTTAATACTCTTACAAGGGAGCATATCCAAGTATCAAACGTCAATTTAGTGAAATTTAACGACTGATACTTGAGTATGTTTCTTTGTCAGTAACATGATCTTGTTCTTTGGCTTAGGGGCCATCGTGGCCATCACTAAAGATGACCAAACATCGCGTTGAATATATCGAATTCGTTTTGTATCATTCATAAAAATAAAAACAATTTGGAAATTTATTCCCATGGACCTTGATTCGTAAAGTCGAATAACGGCTATAGCGCGACATCCAACGACAATTCCTTAAAAAACACACGCGTACGCGCGATCTTATCGACGGCAGATAACAACCCTTTCGTAAAACCAGATTTCAAGTACACATTTGGGATCACTGTCGCCACCATTGACACCGTGGTGTCCATTGCAATGGTTCCCGTGGGAAAGAGTCGAGGTGACGTGTAACCTTATTTTCCAGTATTCCGGTAGTGGTTTTGCAAAATGATGCCCTTTAAACGCGACAAAAAGGAAGAAGAAGATGGTAATCGTAAATTAACATCCTCCCGTTCTTGCACTACCATAAACCGTTGCCCTAAGTTCGTAAGCAAAGTGAAACTAATCGATCCGCATTCTCATGACAGTTTCTTGTAAACAGGTTTCGACGACTGCACGCAACGAACGAGAATTGTATCGCGTGGCTCGATTTCTCTACGCTTCGATTACGAATTTACGCGTATCTTTCGAACCGATATCGTATCTTCGTTCTCATAACTTTTGTGTTTCCAGGCGGAGGAAACCCTTTTCAGAATCTGGAGAAGACGACCGTCCTCCAGGAAGCTCGTACTTTCAACGACACTCCGGTAAATCCGAGAAAATGCGCGCACATCCTCACAAAGATACTGTATCTGCTGAACCAAGGGGAGCAGTTGGGCACTACGGAAGCTACGGAAGCATTTTTTGCCATGACCAAGTTGTTCCAATCGCGGGACGTTGTTCTGAGAAGACTGGTCTATTTAGGCATCAAAGAGCTGAGCTCTTTGGCGGAGGATGTCATTATCGTAACCTCGAGTCTGACCAAGGATATGACCGGAAAGGAAGACTTGTACAGAGCTGCTGCCATAAGGGCTTTGTGCACCATCACGGATGGCGGAATGCTAACAGCTATAGAACGTTACATGAAGCAAGCCATCGTAGACCGTTCTCCTGCTGTTTCCAGCGCTGCTTTAGTTTCCTCTCTCCATTTGACCAGCGTCTCCGCGGACGTTACGCGCAGATGGGCAAACGAAGCTCAAGAGGCGTTATATTCCGCCAACGTGATGGTGCAGTATCACGCTCTGGGCGTCTTGTATCAAGCACGCAAGTCGGACAAACACGCAGTAATTAAGTTAGTCGCGAAGCTCATGAGAACCAGCCCAAAGAGTCCATACGCGGCGTGCATGCTGATCAGAATGGCGTGTAAATTATTGGAAGAGGTAGAAGAGGGCGAGGAGCTGCTAGGGTTCATCGAGTCGTGCTTGCGTCAAAAATCCGAGATGGTCGTGTACGAGGCGGCTCACGCTCTGGTAAATCTTGGAAGAAGCGGCGCTAGGGAAATAGGCCTTGCTATCAGCGTTCTTCAACTGTTCTGCGGCTCCCCTAAACCAGCTTTGAGATTCGCCGCTGTCAGGACTTTGAACAAAGTAGCTATGACCCATCCGGCGGCAGTCACCGCCTGCAATTTAGATTTGGAGAACTTGATCACCGACTCGAACAGATCGATCGCCACGTTGGCGATCACCACTCTCTTGAAAACTGGCGCGGAAAGTTCGGTGGATCGATTGATGAAGCAAATCGCCACTTTCGTCTCCGAAATTTCCGACGAATTTAAAGTGGTGGTTGTGCAGGCTATAAGGTAACGAAGCTTTCTTTTCCCAGAAAACAGTCTTTTCTCTATTTTCTCGCTTTATCATTGGATCGTTTTTCGTTTTTTTCCCAGAGCCTTGTGTCAAAAGTTCCCGCGTAAACACGCGGTATTGATGAACTTCCTGTCCGCGATGCTGAGGGACGAGGGAGGACTCGAGTACAAGGCAGCGATCGCTGACACGATAATCGCCGTTATGGAAGGAAACGCGGAGGCCAAGGAGGCAGGTCTCGCACATCTGTGCGAGTTCATCGAGGATTGCGAACACATTTCCCTAGCTGTACGTATCCTCCATCTGCTCGGTCAGGAAGGACCAACGTCCAAGCAGCCGTCCAGATATATTCGGTTCATCTACAATCGCGTGATCCTGGAGAGCGCCAGCGTGCGTGCAGCAGCCGTCACCGCTTTGGCGCGTTTCGCCGCCGCCTGTCCGCCATTGCTCCCGAACGTGTTGGTCCTCCTGTCTCGTTGTCAGTTGGACTCCGACGACGAGGTCCGCGATCGCGCCGCTTACTATTGCACCATTCTGCAACAACAAAACGACCCCATCGTGTTACCCTTGATACAACCTCCTCTCCTCTCGGTACCAAGCTTGGAGAGAGCTTTGAGAAATTACATGAGAACACCGATGGAGGAACCGTTTGATATTTCTCAGGTAATTTAAAACGGTAACAAATTATTCGAACCCACGTATGTATTTTAATAAATGTTACTCTGTTGCAGATACCGTCGGCACAGACCACCGAGGAGCCAGCGCAGGTCGAAGTTCACACCACCGTAAAACAACAACAACCCCGTTTGACGCGTGAGGAAAGCTTCGTGGAGAAATTGTCGCAAGTACCGCGCCTGGCCGCCATTATTCGCGACTCGACGCTGCTCAAATCGTCGCCAGTGTTCGAGCTGACGGAATCGGAAACGGAATACAACGTGAAGTGCATCAAGCACACGTTCACCGATCTTCTTGTTCTGCAGTTCGATTGCATAAACACTCTTTCCGATCAGTTGCTCGAGGACGTAATAGTGGCCGTCGAAACACCAGAGAAGTAATTACGTTTGAATACAGGGCCAATCAAGCTCACGCTGCGTTAAATGATGGAATGATTTTGTACTTTTAGCTATACGATGATCTGCGAAGTTCCTTGTCCCCGTTTATCGTGCAACGAACCTGGCACAACGTATACAGTATTAAAATATCCGGAAGACGTTCATGCTAGCGTCGCCACTATTCCTACAACCCTTCGATTCATGGCTCGCGACTGTGACCCCGCGACAGGCGTCCCAGATGCCGAACAAGGATACAACGATGAATACATGGTATATTATTTTCTACTTTGAAATTAGATAGCAAATCTAGTCGATTAATTTTCGAATAATTCATCTATTTTTAATTTTTAAATTCTCTATTTTCTTCTACCTGTTTCCTGTTCCTTACTAGGTATAGCTATTCCCCTCCTTTCTACTCTTTCAACTCCTTCTCCTCCCCCTCATCATCACCTTTTCCCCTTCTTAACTCTCCCGCAACCCTAACCTACAACTAAAATTGAAGTTAACCTTAACCTATCACAAAAGACAATAAAACTAAAATAAATATCACTACCCCATTAGGAACAATCCATTTTTTTGTTTTTTGTTAGCTGGAAGATTTGGAAGTGACTCTAGCTGATCAAGTCCGAGGAATGGGTAACAGGGGGTTAGATTTTGGTGCTGCCTGGGAAGCAGCCCTGGCGAAAGAATACGCGAAACTCGAGGAGACGTTCGCTTTGGGGCCATCGGTCACTACCTTGGAGGGGGCGATCCAAAGTCTGACGGGTTTTCTGGGCTTGGATGCCGTAGAACGGTCCAATCGAGTACCATCCGGCGCCACTGTGCATAATTTGTTATTAAGCGGCGTTTTCAGAGGCGGTAAAGACGTTCTTGCTCGTGCAAGACTAGCGTTGTTCGGTAATCAGGTAACGATGCAACTGTCTGTCTTGTGTCAAGATCCAGATATAGCCGAGTTAATAGTTTCGTCCGTGGGATAAATTTCATTAGGTAAACTATAGGCATATGTACGTGTATCGAAAATCTACACTGGAAATTCCGTATTTTTAGTATTAAAAGAATAACGTTGCGAGAAAACGATCGTGATTAATGGGGTTCTTTTCTCAAACTCTATTTCTATGTAACTCTTTGTACATATTATTATAAAACAGTTCTTTAAATAACTTGGTTCAATTTTTTTTTGCCATCCCCCTCCTATTCCTTCGATATATCGATTCTAAAATACGGTGACCGGATGTGTTCAAATATTCACCGACGACCAATGCTTATTTTTCATTTTTTCTGATACTATTATTAGCACGTAAGAACCGAGGTTATCAACAATTTAGTTTATTATCTGATTTATCAACTCCGTAGCTTCGTAATTTTCAGAGACGGAGTAATATTTATCCAGTACTTGGAACAGACGTTTTCATAAACCCTAGCCTTGTTAATTCTCGACACATTTAGTTTCAATTCTTACGGCCGACAGTGCTGAAGTTCAATTCCAGTTTGAATCGATAACGTTGGAAGTGATACGAAAATGGTTTGCTAGTCTCCGATTCGCGTGACACCGACTCCCATAAGGTGAGAGGTCTATTCTACGTCTCGTCCGTGGTTCAACATTGTTTGGTTTCCTTTCGAAAATGGCTGCCGTGTTGGACGAAGTGGGTAAATCCGCCGAAAAGTTGGTGGACGAAGAAAAACGCGAGATCGTCGACCGCGAGAATGAAACTACCGTGGTACAAGCATCGCAGAAGAAAAAAGAAAAGATAAAGAAGAAGAAGAAGAAGAAAGCTGGTACGTCTCGACGTATCGTTCGGTACATTTCGTTTCGAGTTTAGGTTTCTCGCGTGTCGCGTCTCATTTTTCGTTTTCAAATGTAACGCGGTTCATATTTACTCTTTAGCGATGCTGTGCGCTGTTCTTGTTTCCTCTATGACGGGGCTTCAAGTTCAGAGAGAAAGTGCCAAACTATCGTGCAAATTAAATTGCTACTTAACGTGTTTAGAAACAGTACAACGTGGCAATCGCTCGACACCGTTCTCACGTTAGCTTTCCGTGTATTCCGTGTATTTGCGAATTTGTCCCCGTAGACATACTGGGTGTCTCTGAATCGTTTGGCTGAATTTTACTAATCCATGGGTGCATTCTTTCCAAGTTGAAGACATTGAAAATTGTATATTCCCAAGATGATCGAATAAATTAAAAATAAATGATCAAGTAAATTGTAAAGAATAGAAATCTATCTGTTGAAATAATATACTATCTCTAATATGTATAAAACAAAATGCTCTAAACAGAGGAGGCAAAGTTTCAACGATACCTGTTTAATAGTACGTTGCAACTTGAAAATTCTATTATCTTTCTAGGCAAAGCTTACAATATTTTCACCATGTTTGTTCAAAAACAGTTTTTAATAAAAATATATTTCTTTTTGATAATTTGCATCTTTATGTAGAAGCCGTCGAAGCCAATGCGAATGTCCCGGAGAGGGAGGAAGACAAAGCAAAAAATAACACAGCGGGCGAAGGTAAACTTATTTATAAACTTGTCCAGAAAGTAGTTCGGAAGCACGACGTTCGATCGAGATCGTTTTACAGAACCCGCCGCGGAGGTGGCAGAGAACGATGTGGAAGGGGAGGAAACGAAAAAGAAGAAGAAGAAACGTAAATCTCGCGGGAAAACCGGAGGCGTCAAGCAACAAACGGATCCTCCGACTATACCCGTGTCAGAATTTTTCCCAGATGGAAACTTCCCGATAGGGCAGATCATGGATCATCCATCCGCAGCTGGGGTGGACGACAGAACAGCCAAGGAGCGTTTCTCGAGCGAGGAAGCGCGCGCTTTCGACAGAATGCACAACGACATCTATAACGAAGCCAGACAGGCTGCAGAGGCTCATAGGCAAACGAGGAAACACATTATGAAATATGTACGTTTCAGTGACCCAAAAGATGCTATAAAAATCAAAGTCAAGTTAAAAGAAAACGTAACAGCGTTACTTTTTGTCTGTTAGGTAAAGCCAGGAATGTCGATGATAGAGATTTGCAACGAATTGGAGAACACGGCCAGAAAATTGATAGGAGAGGATGGGCTCAAGGCTGGATTGGCTTTTCCAACCGGTTGTTCTAGAAATCATTGCGCGGCTCATTACACTCCGAACGCTGGCGATCCAACAGTGTTGGAGTACGACGATGTCATGAAGATAGACTTTGGTACACACATCAACGGTCGTATAATCGATTGCGCGTTCACCCTGACGTTCAATCCGAAGTACGACAAGCTGATCGAAGCGGTTCGCGACGCTACGAACACCGGGATCAAGGCTGCCGGTATCGACGTCCAACTTTGCGACGTGGGCGCTACGATTCAGGAAGTAATGGAGTCGTACGAGATCGATTTGGATGGGAAAACTTATCGGGTACGTTAGCCGTAATCTTTTTTATCAGGAGACGATTCGATATATTCTTGGTTAATTCGCAGATAAAATCCATAAGAAATCTGAACGGTCATTCGATCGCCCCTTACCGTATTCACGCCGGGAAAACTGTGCCGATAGTTAAGGGCGGGGAGGCTACCAGAATGGAGGAGAACGAGTTCTACGCTATCGAGACATTCGGATCGACTGGAAAAGGAATCGTGCACGACGATCTGGACTGTTCTCACTACATGAAGAGCTTCGATGCTGGCTACGTCCCGCTAAGATTACAGAGTAGCAAAGTTCTGCTCAATACTATCAACAAGCATTTCGGTACGTGTCCGTTTGGTGAAATACGTAGCTCGACACATTCGTCCACGTTTATCGTTTCCAGGTACTTTGGCTTTCTGTAAACGATGGTTGGATCGCATCGGTTGTACAAAGTATCAAATGGCTTTGAAGGATCTGTGCGACAAGGACGCCCTCGAAGCTTACCCGCCTCTGGTCGACGTAAAGGGATGTTACACCGCTCAGTTCGAGCACACACTGGTTTTACGTCCAACGTGTAAAGAAGTTATTTCCCGCGGGGACGACTATTAAAGTGTCTATACTCGAATCGCGTTCGCGTACACCCGCACCTTCTGTCTAGGAATGTACAAGCTGGTTCGTGTAAAGTCACTTTTACGTCGGATGTTATACCATTAATAACGCGATATTTAATTATATCACCTAACGATATTTTATTCATTGTTTTTTCCTCTGCCGATATAAACTATAACTTGAGCGGGACAAAACATCCTCGGAACGTTTAGTAGTACAAAATGTAAGGGGTACGTTTGTTTCTTCGCTTTATATTCTTTAGTTGCATAATGGAACACGAATAACGAGAAAGCTTTTTTCGGGTCTTGGATCGTCGATATTTTTATATCGTGCATAACAATTTTTTTTTTTTTTCGAACTAGTTTTCTTTTGATAATGAAAATAGCGATGTCAATGTTGAATAAAATATATTTGATAGTTTAATTACACCAATGCGACGGTAGTCCTAAACGTGATTGGCTTGTATCGATCATAGGGGGATAGAATTTGGTGCGCATAACGAGGTGGTGGTTAGAATTCAGGTTAAACGTCTCGACTCGTTAATCGGTTATTTGTTTCGCTGGTTTCATAAAATTTTACGTTACAATTATAAGTATGCTTTTCGCTGCATTTATCGAATAAAATTTAATTATGCGCTACGATCGATAGAATTTCCAACGTTTCCGGTCGACGATCGCGTTTCTACAGTTCCCGTCGCTGTCGATCGAAACTGTATAACGCAACAATATATATGTATATGTTTTATTTCTTTTTCTGAACTATGAACACTGTAGTGTAATAAATGCTGCTACGTTAACGTACAAAACACTTTTTAATTTGTCAGCTAGAGGCAAAAGATTCCCGCCATTCGAGACCACTCCCTTCCCGCGAAACATCTTAGGCACTGCTTTCACTTTCTCTTATTAAATCGACCATACTTCGTTGCTTTTCAACTAAATTTGGGATTAATTTGGGGGTTTTAGTCAGATTATCGGGGAATGTCCGACCCATTTATAATCGATCTATTCGAAATCTTCGAAACCATTGAAACCAACGAATGTTTCACATTGGAATGAAAATATTAAACTAATGCTTTTTGCAGGGAATAACGAGTCGCACCAAACGATGTATTACAAAATATATATATAATTCTATTTAAAAAAATTAAAGAAACACTTTACAGCATCGACAATTTCGAAGATATGCGAGTGGGGTCGATTTAAATGGAAAATTAAGTTTCAGGAATGTGGGGAAGTCGGAACTGTTATTTTATATTTGATGTATGGAGGTACTTAGGTTACCAAACCAGCGTAGAGGTTAACCTAACCGAACATCTACGATTAAAATAGCCATAGACGAATGATACGATGGAAGAATGTTTCGCTCGGTGACAATGGGTTGGCAAAATCTTTTGCGTTTACTACCGTTAAATTATACAAGTTTACGTGGTCCCGGGATGTCGACTATACATTTCTGTCTACCGTGACAAAGTTCTCTGTGCTTAACACATTGGCATTAGAGGCATTCGCGATATTAACAAATTAGTATAATCTTTTAATCGTTTGTCGAAACAATTTTTAGGAGAAAGTTAAAAATTTAGAATTGGACTTAGCGTATTGTATCATAAATATTAATATTTCTCTTCTATGCTACAAAACAACTGCTAAGGCGTGGGACTTTACTGGATTTACACATATAAGAAGTTTCTAACGTTGAACCACAGCTACGGGAGTCGATAATTATATTCTCGATTACTCTTTAACTCGTAAGTCATCTGTTACCGATGTCTCTAAAGAGAAACTGTATCATTAACAGCGTTCTCTCAATTTATATCTGTCGCCAATGTGTTAATATATTAGAGTCTGGTTTCCGTTTAGATTCAGGCACGATAATAAGCTAATATTCGACACTTGCGTTTCGCAATATCATTTTGTCTTAGTCGATACACGTTCTTTTCTACGCTATTCACGAATGTTTCTTTTATTTTAATTACGCTAACGGTATTCACCTATACGCGAGAACTGCCTCGATGGGTCCAGCACGTAACAAAATATCGAATCGGTCAATACGCTAGCTACGGTTTTTGCATCAAGGCGGTCTGTTAAGGCCTGTTCGTCGCAAATCTCGACGTATCATTCTTTGTTGGGTCTCGCGTAGGCACAAAGTGAGGGATGTTTTGGTCGAGAAGAGACACGCAATAACCTCGATCACGTTTACGTTCACCGATTCCTCGGGATTTAGCGTTGCAAGGCCCTCGTTCGAATCGTGGAAGGCGACGTTCCTTATGCTAGGCTAGAGACTATAGAATCGGATTCTGGAAGAGGAAATTTAATCGTACGCGGTCTGTCGGCCATTTTGGAAGAGTAAAGAGAGGGCCCACGCGCCAACCCCTCTACGTACGATTTAATTACACGTCATTTATCAAACGTGTACTATTAAATATCGTTTAAATTTATTCATGCACGCTATGCTCGTCGAGAAGAACAGATTTGCTTTACGGATATCTCGCGAATGGAAAAATATGTTGATTTTATGACGAGTGCGGTCGCGTAATTGCACGACAAGGGGCTGGAGACAATATTTGTTTAGTTCTACGAGAAAGTAAATCTATCGAGACCGAGCACGGAGATGGTTTTCTGTTCGCGTTGCCGACACGTCGTTCCTTCCAACGGCGGAGTCGCATGATTTCTCGTTTGCTTTCTAACCAAACTCTTATCAAATTACGTATACGTATTTACATATCGGTCGAGTTACAAAACGCGACGAAACGTTCTGCCCGCGACGCGTCGCGACGGATCGATCGCGTTCCTCTCCCGCACGACGGTGTACTTATCACGTTACACGATCGACCAACATTTTGTTTCTCTGTTTCTTGTTGTTCTCTCTCTCTTCGATTCATTGAGATTCTGTGCGCGGTCTCAGCCTCGCTCTCGCCGTCGCCAAAAGGTTGCTGGACGGTTCCGTTGGCTGCGACTGCTCCATCTGAAACAACCAAAATAATTTCACAAACAATCTGAGCACGTTTCGCGGAGTTGCCCGCACCAAACAATAAACGTTTGCTCGATCGCGATAGTAGTCTGGATGCGCATTTAGACAAGCATGGTCGATAAGAACGGAAGCAAATGGGACGACACTCACGGCCGTCTCGATCTGTTTCGCCCTTTGCTCGATGGCCCTTTGCAACGCGGTTCTAGGATCATCTTTGTAGTTCTCCTCCCGATTTTTTTCAGCCTCGCGCCTGGACGCAGCCTCTCTCTGCTTCTCGAGCGCCCGCTGCAGCTCGCTTTTCTGATTCAGCACGTTTCTGCCTCTGAAAGAAAGCAAAACATCGACGCGGTTAGCTGTGGGTACGGATTCCTGTCCGTTGCCTGTCTATTCCCGCCAATTCCAGTCCGTTCCTGTCTATTCCCGCCCAATCCTGTACGTTCCCGCCAATTCCCGCCCAATCCTTTACGTTCCCGCGAATTCCAGTACGTTCCTGTCAATACCTGTCTATTCCTTTCTATTCCTGTCTATATTCTTATCCAACAATGGACAGCGTTAAAGCGTTAAGCAGATGAAAATTAGTCATCGACGTGTATCGTCGCCATCATCGAAGATAGCGAAGTTCGCACGTTTGGCGCGAGCGCCACCAGCAGGAAACGATTTTCCTCGGCCAATAGGCGTGCGAACTGCATCGAAAGCCGCACGCACGCTTTCGAGGTCTATCTCGCCCTACGCGGAAACCAACCTCGAATCTCCCCTCATTTACCAGCATATTTTATTCGCAGTTACGTTTTACAGGCTGTATCTAGACCGGTATTTCACACGCTAAACGCTGTCCCGGTCTCTGGAGACCGATATGCTAACGTTTACGAGAAAAACGTCAGACCTAATCGTCTCCTTTTTTAATTCACGCGTATAACAATCGTAACCGGAGTTACAGATGTAAATGACCAGTTAGTAGGTTAGTTTGTTCAAAGATGACCGTGGCGTAGCAGCGAACGTACGAGACTACTAACAGTTTGTCCCGTGTTCGAATCCCCATGACGCCGTAGAATTTTTAATTTATATTTTAATACTTTTGTACAAGGCCTTACATCTTCTGGTTAAACAGTAACTCCCTACGAAGGTCCTTATGATTACTGGAGGTGAGGTATGGGTTGTAAGGTTTTCTTGGCACGATCAAGCCGTCTGGTCCCATGTGAGGTGCAGGTGGCGGCGGAGGAGGTACACCCAACACCGGAGCCATGTCTCTCCCTGCAACAGTATAGCGTCCCATTAGGCTAATCAAGGTCTCACCCTGATTTCGTCCTGGGAAACCCCATATATCGTTCAATGTTCGTTTCAAACAAAATAGTCTAGAAACGCGATCACGGATAGGTGTTATAAAACGTTCAAAGAATAACCCCTTGTGCACCGCAGCTTTCGTTGTCTGTCAATGTGTACACGGCAGTGTCTCTATTCGAGTTGGCATAATCACGAACGAGGGGCAGTATATATAACGTCGTCGATGGACGCAGCCCCGTAGATTTAACCGCGAAAATAAGCTATGGCTCGAGTAGGATCTCTGCGGTTTTATTCACCCTCTAGCAAAGCGATTCTCGCCCTCACGGAACCCTCCTCGCACATCGCGGCGAATCGTACTGAACCGTTTACGGCCGTGCCCTATCAAACAGCCAACTTCTATATACTTTTGCGTATGGCTTCGCATAGCTGTTAATCGGATAGAAGAGTATGCGGCACCGAGCCACGTTCGGTACCCTATCTTTTTATGCTCTCAAGGTGAACCAAACAATATGCCTCTATAGAGTTTAATCCTTCCTTGCGGTATCGTACGTTCTTTGTGCAAAGTTCTACGAAAACGAGGCTGCAGCTCATCAACAAGTCTAATATACAGGACGTTTCGTCAAGCTCGTGTAAACATGCCGGAGGACAACGATATTGGCGTCCTGTTCGTTTCTTAGAACGGGACACCATAGCCGTTGAAAATGAACGAAGGGATTGGCGACGCGGTGCAGTGTTGCGTGACATTCCTCGGAACACGTGTTATCGATACCTCAAGAATTCCCGACACCAGTTTTATACAGTTTGTCGAATTAATTGTCGCGATACTAGAACTCGATTTTGCAGTCAGAAAATCGTGTCGAGAAAACGAACCAAGGCGTTTCGAAGTAAAGCAATTAACGCGTTCCTCCTTTTATTCGTTCGATCGTTGCGTGGGTGTTGGTCAGACAAACTCGACGTGACCTATCAACACGGTGAACGATCAAGGAGCGGCCACGGAGAAGGAGGTTGCTAGAAAACGAGTCACCGTGCGTGCACGAACGATTTCGTTGAAGTTTAGACGTTGAATTCTCGATCGAAAAGACACGTCTATTTAATACTATTTTGAAACGTTAACTTGTTAATGCAACTATCCCCAAATATCGATATTTGATGTAAGAATATTTTCCATTTCCAAGCGAAGCAGATCTTTTGCGGATTCGTGGAATCGAGTTCCTCGTCGAACGACGCGACACCGTAAATCGCGTGGACGTAGCGGGGAACTACGAAACGAAAGTAAAGAATACATCGTTGCGCGATTTTCTAACCCATATGTACGATTTCGATGCTTTCTCGAGCGACGTTTTCGGTGAACGAATCGGGTACAATGAAACCGTCGATTTCACGAATGCTGCTTCGCTTTCGATTATACAATTATTCGAAATACCAGCTTTATTCCTGAAGCTTGTATTATTCACGAATCGAGTTTACCCCTAATAAGTAGACGTTCTTACGTACGCGACAGTTGCACCAACATGGTATTGCAGGTTCGTTGGACCAACCTGTCCCCTCATTTAAATATATGCATTCGCGCCAACATCTGTCGTTTTCCAGCGTAAAATCTAAATGTAAAAGGCAAAGGGCTAATATTGAACCTGTAACACTTTATTTGTACGACACGGTATATTTTATCTGTTTAATAAATAAATAATTGTTCCACGATCGATAAATTCAGCGATATTTTCGAACGACCGGAAAAATTCACCTCAAAAGGGACGTCTCGATGCCGCGACAGGCGATCTTCTTCGTACGCTCTCACTTTTCATTAAAAAACGTTCGTTCGATTTCCTCGCGGCTAGCATCGAGTTAATGGCTAATTAAATCCACGTTAAGTTTTGAGAGCGACTGGAGGCGAAAGCGATCGAGGTCGCCCCGTTCCATACGTCGACCTATTTTCTTAATTGTTCTCGAGATTTTTCGAAAACGCAAATCCCATTAGCGAGAATTACCGAGGCAGTGTGCCATTCACACTTTCTATATCGAAATATTTCGATCACCAACGAGAGGATACCGATCTGCTCGGAGTTTTTCTTCGAAAGTAAAACGGAATAAGATCGATTCGTAAAATCGGTCAACGACGGCCGGTGCATTTTCGTCGGGATTTGATCTTGTCGGGACCGATGCGCGCTGTGAAAGGGTTAGAGGCAGCGGTGAAGGGGCGGGAGAGGGGAGGGAGAAGTGGGAGCGGAAAGGGGGGAGGGTAAAAAAATGCGGAGCCGGTCAGGATGTAATTTTGAGGCAGATGTGCGGGCACGAGAGGGAGATCATTGCACCGCGAGCAAGGAGCAGCTGAAGTAGCGTGAGAAAACGCGCCGACCGCTCCGACGGATGATAATGACCGAAGGGCAAAGTCAGGGCTGTAACGATTTAGCGGATTTACTGCAAATCGCGGATCTAAAGCGACGGGAGAGCAACGTCTCCACCTGCTACTGTGCACGACACAATTGTGGCTCGCTTAACATTTTTAACAGGTTCGGAGGCGAGCATGGTGGGGGGTGTGACCCATATACGGGTCACAGACAGCGAACGTGTTGGCGAAAATTTTTTAAAATCTGATAAAATTATACTACTTTTCATTGCACGATGCCTTAAATTAAATTCCCTTCCCCCCAATTTTCTTTCAATTTGTTTCATTCGCTGTTTATCGCGATATCGGCGACAGGGCAAAAGGATAATCGGGCGGCGCGTTTGTCGGATTGATATCGAGGGTGCATCGTGTGGTGTCTCTATATGCATGTACCGCGTGTACAATAACGAACGATCCTTTTCAATCCATCTCGAGGAGGGAGGGGGACAGATTTCCTCGATGAAACCAAACGGCGCCGACTATAGCAATCGGGCGGTTCTAACGGGCCGCCTTTTATAGGCAGTTAGGGCTCTTTATGAGAGGATCATCGCGAGCAGTAACGAGAGAATAAAAAGAATACGAGCGATGCATCGATAACGCGTGACTCACCGTTTGTTAAAACGTTGCAGCTGTCCGCGTCGCTCTTGGACCCGTTACCGATCACCTGAAACACGTACACTGGATTAACGGATGATACGATACGGTTTATCGATTAACAGAATTCGTATTCTCCGAGCGTCGCGCATCGAGCGTCGATCCGGTTGCATGTTAATTCCCAGCCAGTCCGACGGGACGAATCGACGAACGAAAGAGTTCAAAGAGATTTTAAACTATCTTAACAGTACGCTTTGTAACCACTTTTTGAAACAGTCGAATCGAGGACCGCGGCGACTCGGTTTCCCGCGGCGTGCTCGTTTGCCCCGAAGGAAGAATCGAAAGTCCAATCCTCGATGCATTAACCGTTTCTCTCGTGACGCGTCATCGATGATTTCACCGCGATACCAACGTTGTCGACGCAAACATCGTCGACTCGTTGGCAATACATCGCCGAGGAACGAACAAAATTCAACCAACATAACGTAAAAACCGTGGATACGTAGGTAGACGCTTGGCGATATCGCGAAACGCACGAAACGTTTCGAGGAATTCCAACCATTTCTGGTCCACGGTATCTGCGAGTTCCAATTATCGCGGGAACTTCCGTTCTCGATATCAAAACGGTGGATAGTGGTCGCTTCCAAAGGAAGACTATGGTTACGAACAGATCCGAGCGACGGTTAATTTTTAATATTACAACACGAGTTTCACAAGTCAGAGAAAATAAATGCACGTCGGAGTAATAAAATTAAAAGAATTGTTCGAGCTGACAAACTCGTCGTATCGAATAATAAGCCATCGTAGTTTTTACCCTACTTTTGTCGATGCGTTCTCGGCTCCGTTCTTCCGCGGGTTGGCTAAAAACAACGGATCGACGAAACAGGCACGAGAAGAACACCCGGTAGGGTCACCATTGTGCGAGCTTGTTTTTGTAGGTCATCTTTTGTCGCGATCTCTTTCGAGCACGAAGCTGCGAAAGAACATTACAAGCAGGTGCGCGAAAAACGCGAACGTAACAGGTTTCTAAAGTGCGCGATCGCGCTCGTCTCGAACTATGAAAAGGATCGCGAGTGCCGTTCGATATTCTCGCGAACAATAGCCACGCGCGAATGATGTCAGGGACTAAAATTCTCCTAGGCGTGAATCAGACATTACCAAAGCTCTCTATTCTTTATCATAGACCTTAAAAATTACCTTCAATTCGGTCATATTCGACCAAAACGTTAGTCGCAAAATATCTCGACACCCAGAAAGATCACCTTTTTCCGTTAAAACAGACTCGACGTTTTCTCATCGTACGCGATCTGTTCCACGATTTCGTAATTCAAAACACGAACACCACCGTCGCACAGAAATGGAGTTTTTTTCCTTTTAAAAGATCAAGTTCCCGCTCGATCACTCCGGGATTCCAAGAAAAGATAAACGAGGACAGGATTGGACCTGCGAGAGTCACCGGTCGAACGAGAGAAGAGCGAGAGCGCGTCCGTAACTGCAGTTGCGCGGAGGGAGACGAGTTTTCGAAGGTTACGACACACGCAACAGCTAATTGCTCGTCCGCAGGCGTGAACGCGTGCGTAAACCGCACAGAGGAAGACGAAAAGATACACGCTGGAAGCGCACACGGTGTGGCTTTCGCCCCAGCGAGTGTTTACGTGTGTACAGAGTCGACGGTTAAACGAGTTACGATGAGTTTCAGCCGGGGGGGATCGTAAGTCCGGAAGGAAGTGGAAAATATTAACGTTTCTTCGGGAACAGGGGAGCCGAACCGTTCTCGTTCCCTCGCATTCTGATCGACGAAAAAGTCGCTAAAAAAAAGGGACCACGGCACGTCCAATCCAACAAACTGTTACAAACTATTATACTATTTTCTTAACAACAAAAATATATTCGTTAAAAACAGAGAGATTATTAGGTTTAAACTGAAATGTAATTCAATATTGGCGACACGATTGCAGATATGTACGTAACCGAAACACAAAGCTTAAAAAGTCGCGCAAACAAACAACATCGCAGTTCTTCGATTGCATCATTCGCCGTAGTTCCAATTCTACGAATTACGTCGGTTCCTGTACGGACGGTTGACGCATCTCGCGATCGCTCGATATTCGTTGCCTTCCGCCAGAAACATCTACTTTACAAAAATTACTTCGGTTATACAATTCAACGCTTCACGGAGGAGACGGAAAAGCTAGAATTATTCCAACCCTCGTTCCGGAGAGAACTTTTACGATTGTTTTCGAAACTACACCCGGGCTCCGTGCGCCATTCTTTTCTCTCGCGCTTCGTTCCTTTTCCGCTTTCATTTATATTCCGTGCCCGCGAGAAGAGGCACGATTCAAAGGTCACCGACTCAACGAGAGGCGCTTGAAAATCAGCTAGAGAAATTTCTATGCGCGCGATCAAGGGGGACTTGCGCTTTTTCGACCCGAAAGATGGCGCAGGCGAGCACTCGCGCTTAATTTCGTTGCTAATAACGACGAATGATACATACGTATATTCTCTTCAAAATTTAACACTTTGAAACTAAAACAATTAATTCTCAAGTTAAAATGTTAAAATAAATTTTAATAGGCTTCGTAAATTTTGACGAGGTTACGAAACTTTTAAGTTGTGTAATTTACAATTGTCCAAAATCAAAGTTTCGGTCTCGTTGACAACTTTAGGACTTTAGACTGGCAGTGAACGTGTTGAACTGTATAGGAGAAACGATTTTGAAGGAACGAACGAAGCAATTCGTGGATCAGCGAACGTAAAAATACGTAACGAGGAAATCGAACGACGTGGCCGCACGAAAGTACTCCAGCGATAGCAACTACCTAGCCCTAACGAGCAATAATTCCGTTCAGCTCCGACAGGTTGCAGGATAAAACTTAATTCATCGGCGCTTTCACCGAAGCTTCGAATCGAATAATCGCATCGTTCGACTGGTGTTCATTGTATTCATCAACGCAGGAAAACCGTCTGCTCTCGCGAGGCAAAGAATTTAAGAGACGACGAAGGAATCATAACGGAAATTTCCTCGATCGATTGTCCGAACGGGGACAGCGAGATTAACGGGTCCGATGCGGTCGGTGGGACATAAATTTTTTAAACAAACCACCGACGTTCGCCCGGTCGCATTATTCTCGAAACAGCGAGCGCACGCACGAGTGCATCGAATTGCAAAACGCTTATAAGTATGCACGCGGTTCTGTCCGTTCGTATGCTCGATTGCTTCGGGGCACACGGACGTTTCAGCACGCTTCGAATCGATCTGTTTCTTTCGCAACGCGAACGCTCGGTGACGCGTGTCGACTCGACGAAACGACATTATTGTAAATTTCAAGAGACACATGTAAATACACAACAACCTGAATCTACGCGCTAAAGGAAGCCACGAACGTTTAAAAAGTTTCGCGTACAATGATTTATTTGCCTCCATAGAATGTCCAAGTACCTGGTTGCTGAATTCATTGTCGCGCGAATAAATCAAAGCAGAGAAAAAAGCGCAGAACGGATTCTTCTATGCACTATTGGTCACGGTTGATGAACAACGAATTGCACGGTAACGACGTACGAGAAACAAACAAAAGTTTCATCGTGGAAAACTATCGTTAGCCTCCTATGCACGAGGGAATTGTTTGTCGTAGACAGATCGAAGAATGTACCACGAAATCAACTCGTCGTTGAGGGATATACGAAGCCTCGCAATTACTGTGGCCGGAATATACATGTACGCGAACCGTGGCGAGAGACAAATACAAATAAAATCGAATTTATGACGGTTGCTGAGTCATGTACACTTCGTTTCCAACTGATAAAGCTGGCTGAATAATAAAACACTGCTGTCGCGAAGTAGTTTCAAAGATTTTGTCGAAATTCATATTTGTTAAAGGATCAAGTTATCACCTTAACAGATTAGAGCTCTAATTCCCTTTTCTATTTGCCTCTGACCAACGCCACCTTCCGTATGCGTGATTGCACCGAGGGAATGCGTCGACTATTACAATGCCTATAGTAATTGCGTAATTCTCTTCCGTGAAACGTTATCGTCTTCAAAACGATTTGTATTCCACTTAACGATTAATAGTAGGGTCGATGGTAGTGAGAAAACGTTACCCATAAGTCGAGGAATGTTCGGTTACGGCATAAGAGGATGCGTGTGCGTGGACAATAAGAGAGTACGTGGCACGCTGCTGTCACTCGATGATCTCTTGGAGGAATCGAAAGACGGTTTATCGGTCAGGTCGATACTCGCGTACGCACGACAAGGCGGAACTGGCAAAGGGTACGTGCCTCGAGATCCGAAGCAATCGGGCTGAGACGGAAATTATCGCGTTCTTGGGTGTACTGTTCCAGAGAGTGCAGGCGACGGAGGAGGACGTTCCGATCTTAAAAGACTCGAGGCGTGGCGAAGGAACGCGGAGCCAAAAGGTGGACGAAGGCGAGGCACTTGCCGCTCGTTCGAGCGCACCACGCGAACTGACAGGACAGTACTGACGGTAACAGAGACGCCGCGGCGAGAGAGAGAGAAAGAGGGAAAGAGGAGAGCGGTTTGTCGCGTCTCGTTCGTGCGACCCATGTGCTATGTAACGGGTATACCGACCCTTGCTCGACTTCTACCGAGCGTGCTTCTGATAATACGCGGACGTACGCTTTGACAGTGGCGAGAGAAACGTTCAGGGCCGCGAATTACGCAGTCGTGGGAATGCCAGACATTGTTCGATGTTTCGAAATTTCGTAAAACGAAACAACGGTTCGAACGACGCCATTAAACGCGCGGGAACTAGTCGTCGTTCTTTTTTTTTCGTAACGATTTATTCTCGCAGTCTGGCCGGTGCCGAGTTTGTCCGCTGCAACGAGTAACCTGCCGAGAGGGGTCCATTGTTGGCGTAATTGATTCTACGAGGATACAGAAGACTGTAGGTTGACATAAGTAAATGCTTCATAGGGACGTTAAAGGAAATAGTAACTTATAAAATAGTAGCTATGAGTAGTAACTAGATTAATAAATAAGTAGCTAGAAATAGTAAGCTATAAATTAAAGGGAATAATAACTTATAAAATAGAAGCTATAAGTAGTGACTA